TGAAAATTAACAAGTTGGCAACATTAACCACATATATTTATTATAATCCTAATTTCAGGTGATGTGAAATTATAATTAAATGCATAGTTTAAAATGTACATATCATACATACTTACATAATGTTTTGTGTGTTTATGCATAGTCATATTGCTCATTTAAGTGGATGCTATTATGTGGATTAAAGTAATCATGGTCTATGAGGTTATCAGGAGGCTAAGGAAACTAAGATTAAAATCAGTATTATGTTCTAGCTTTAATGACAAATAACATTATAGAAGACTTGAGCTTTGATCCCCAACATCCACATAAAAAGCCAGGTATATCAGCAAGCCCCTCTAAAACCCATGCTGGGGCTACAGAGCCAGGAGAGACCTGGGGCTCCCTGGCCAGATTGTCTCTCTGGAACCAAGAGCTCCAGATTCAACAAAAGAACTGCTCTCAAAATCATAAAGTGGAGAACTATGGCAGGTGACCCAGATATCAATCTCTGACCTCCGCACATGCCCACATATGAGAACACACCACATGCACAGGGTCACACAGGCATGCACCATGAGCACAAAAATAAGCAAATAAACAGTTGATATATCAATCACTTAATCTAGTAATCCTGCATTTATGTGACTGGTGGGAACATTCAGTCATAAAAACTTACTCATCTTATAATTTTGTTAACATGAAGTTAATACTCTTTAACCATCAAACCCCAAGCTATTAACAAGTGTCATTCTACTCTGATCCTCTGAGGAGATGGGTTTTTCCTTCTTTGTTATTATTTCAGATTATTCTTAATATATATGTTAAAATTTGCATTCCTTTTCTCATGTCTGCCTTATTCTGCTTGTATAATGTCATCCATGTTTTTGAAAATTAAACAATCAATTCTATGAGGTTGAGAGATATTCCAGTATGTGTGTGTGTGGGGAGGTGTAAAAGCACAATTTATTCATGGATCTATTGGCATGTATGTTGTTTCTATAGCATGGCTATTTTGAATAATATTACATGGTTATATAAACAGCCACATCCTAGCCCTCGATTTCCCATTATATTGTCAAAGCATAATAATCAATATTATGTAATACTTCATAAAAACAGACATACAGGCAAAGGCCACAGGCCAGAGAGCTGGGGAGCAAACTCATGTGTTTGTGTTCAGCTAATATTTGGAAAGATAGTCTCTGTAATAAAGGCCTCTGGGAAAACTAGATTCTACAAGCAAATAATGAAGTTGGATCATTGTTTTACACTATACAAAATTAACTTGACATGGACTTTTTCATTTAATTATAAGACTTGAAACAAGCTTCTACAAGAAAATACAAGAAAAGAATTCCTTGATGTCATCTTTAAAATGATATTCTTAGGGTTGGAGAGATGGCTCAGAGGTTAAGAGCACTGACTGCTCTTGCAGAGAACTGGAGTTTGATTCCTAGCACCTACACAATGGCTAACAACCATCTGTTAACTCCAGTTCCAGAGGGATCTGACACTCTCTTCTGACCTCCACAGGCACTGCACAACATGGGTACACCTACCTACATGCAGACATTACACTTACACACATAAAATAAAAATAATAAATAGTTTTAAAATAAAATAAACTTAAAATTAAAAAATAAAATGATATTTTAGTAGATATGATCAAAGCATGCAAATAACAAAGGTAAAACAAATAATTGAACAAGATGAATTCTAACTAAAAGTGGATCTGCACAGCAAATGAAATTGATCTGATGAAAGCAAAGATTTACAAACCCTGTATCATCTGCTGTGTAGTCAATTTTGAAAATGTATTAATGGATGTAACTGAACATCCAGAAAACAAATAACCTTTTAAAATTAGGTGAAGCATCCAGATAGACATTTTTTCAACAGGTGACACAAACTGTGTGTGTGTGTGTGTTTGTGTGTGTGTGTGTGTTTGTGTGTAATAGATAGATATATACATATGTTTATGCATTTAAGCTAAGGTATTAGTTTTGGAGGAGGGAGAGTTAAAGCTAAAATGTGACTTTAAAATTTAATGGTTGGGCCAGGCATGGTGGTACATGCTTTTAATCTCAGCATTCAAGAGGCAGAGGCAGGCACGTTGGTTTCTGTGAGACTGAGGTCAGCCTGGTCTAGACAGTGAGTTCCAGGCCATCTTGAGCTACAGGAAGACCTTGTCTCAAAATGTCATAGATTAGATATATAGATGATAGATAGATAGATAGATAGATAGATTGATTGATAGATGATAGATAGATGATAGATAAATATATAGAAGATAGATAGATAGATAGATAGATGATAGATGGATAGATAGATGATAGATAATCTATGTAGACTACTTATTAAGAGATGCCTTCCTGAAGGTTACATTGAAGAATCAATCTACCAAGTATGGATATAAGTTTGATATATGTGTTCCTTTTAAAGTTTGTTAAATCATGTTACTGAAACTGTCCCTGTTAGATCTGAAAGGTTTTATTTCAGCATAACATTAGGAAAGAGTAGAGAATTAGAATTAGTGATTATGTATTAAACTATTAACATCAAAATATGCTTGAAATTGAGAAATCTGGATTAATATCAAGGCTATATTTGTGTATAATGTTAAAACATTATCCATGGACTGAATAAATTTGGAACAGCTGGAAGAAGAAAGAGAAATGATATGAAGCTTTGTGGATAGTTAAGATTTGATTATTTATGAGGAAGCAGGAGGACTTCCGGGAAGAAATTTTGACATAAGGACCTGAAAGAATAATAAGGCTATGCGGATATAGGAGGTGTGAAGTTGAATAGTTCCCATTCCTTCCCCTCCCAACCCGCCTCTACTCTGTCCCTGAGACCTTATCATCTACCATCCCCCTTTCTTCCCAATTCCTTCCCTCCCTTGCTCCCTCCCTCCTCTTCCTTTCTCCCTGCCTCCTTCTCTCTCTATATCTCCATTTCCCCTTCTAAGTTTTCCTCCTTCCTCTCTATCCCTTCCCACCTCTCTCCCTGTCTCCTTTCCTTTGTCCCCTCCTTCCTTGCCTTCCTCTTATTTCCCCTTTTCCCTCCCTGCTGTTCTCCATCTTCCTCTTTTCCGGTCTCTGTCCCTGTCTGCCTCCTGGCTTTCCCCCTCTACTTCTCAACCTTTCTTTCCCCTTTCCTCCCTCCTGTGTTCTTCCCTATCTCCTTCTCCTTCCCTCTTCTTCCCTCCCTCCCTCTTTGCCTCCTTCCTTCTCTCCCTCTCTGTTTACTTTCTTGCCTGCTTCCTCTGTCCTTCCATATCCCTTTCTCTCACTTCCCTCATTTTCTGACTTCCTTTTGCCTGTCTGTTCCTTCTGCCTCCTTTCCACAGCTATCACCATCACCATGCTGTCAGCAGATGCTGTCTAAATGCATACCTCTCTGTTGTTCAGCATAAGAGACCACCAGCAGCAGGAGCAGGAGCAGGAGCAACAAGCAGGAGCAACAAGCAGCAGCAACAGCAGCAGCATGTTTCAGTCATGGCAGCATTTCTTTAACTTCACGCCCCTCTCATTTGACATCCCAGCCTCTCATTTTAATCTTTCTTATATCCATCTTTGTGAATCTTGAGTTTAGACTTGAATCCAGAGTAACCCATGCACACCCTCACTCTCTGTTTACTCAGTTCCACAGGAAATACTCACCAAACACCTTCCACAGGTATACATGCACAGCAGAAGTCAAGTCTTATGTTTAATGACATGTAGAAATTGGTTTTCTCCTGAGGCTTTATGTCCCCTTGTAAGCCCAGGGTATGTATGTTCACATGTGTCCATATAACACAGTTGTAGCAAGAAGCAAGAGGTACTGAACACTTACAATGTATCAGGTACTATTCTGGAAGGTATATTAACCTGTATAGGCTAGATGGAGCTCAGTTGGTAGAATGCTGCCCAGTACGCTGGGGTCATGGGTTTGATCTCCAGTATGACGTAAAACCAGGCAGAGAAGGAGGAAGGGGGGAAGGAAGGGAGAGAGGGAACCAGACAGACAGAGAGGAAGACAGAAAGGGAGGAAAGGAAGGCAGAAGAGAGGAGGGAAGAGAGGGAAAGAGAGAGGGAAGCAAGCAGAACTAGTGGTGCATGCCTATAATATCAGCACTTGAGAGGTGAAGATGCGATGCAGGAGGTTCATGAGTTCAAGGTCATCCTTGGCTACATAACAAATTCAAGGCTTGCCTAGAATACAGGAGACCATGTCTCAAGAGAGTAATTAATATAAAAATTTTGTGCAGTTCTTTAAAATTCTGTGAGGTGCGTCCTGTTCCTCTCATTTGGAAAGTAAGGATATTTCAGTGGCATGTAGTCCTGGTGACTTCATTAAGGGTGTTTTATCAGCTGACAAACCAGTTAACTATGCACAAAATAGGGGACTGAGCTGTGCTAGCACCAAGTTCTCCTTTCCTTTGGTATTTGGACAGGGGTGAGTATAATGAAAAGAGATGTGGCATTTTGGTGAACTCCTTGCTTTGAATTCTGACTCCTCCATGAGAGATTCTGAGCAAATTACAGTGTTCCCAATCTTTCCTTATCTGACAAAAAAAAATAGTGTATAAATGGTCCTTCCTTGCTGAGCAGATGATAAATGACAATAATGACAGAAACCATTCATTGAGAATGTAAAATGCACCATGTCTAAAAGTTGTATATGTATTGTGTACATGCAAGTAGGGATTATTACTCACTTTTAGACTCAGTCTCAAAATAACAGTGTGGAGACCAGTAGAGAGATACATCCCAGTGTAAACCTCTGGCCTCCACACATACCCACATAGGTGAGTGCATCTGTATGTACTTGTGTACACACATAGACATCACACATGCTCACCCCCACACAGTAAACAAATAGATAAAAATGAATCTTGTGCAATGTTACCAGCTCAGCACATGGCTGAACAGGGAAGGGTACAAGCCCTAGTCTGTGTGGCTTTAAACTTGATGTTTTACTTCTTGTATTATGTACAATGTGTGCATGTGCATCGTATATACGTTTCCAGCATATGGCACACAGGACAGCTCCTCTGTCCGAGGGCTGCTCTTGGGGTGCTGATTCTTCCCTGTAGGTAGACCCAGATATTTATGCAGCTAAAGAACATACTCAGACAGAGAGGCAGGTGTGCTTGGGGTCAGAAGCAGCTATTGGAAAGAAGTTGTCCAGTCTAGCAGAAGTCGGCTTAGGAGATGACTGACAGTGCCTGGGTCAGCACTGCCTGCACCAGGCTCAGCTCCATCCCACAACCTACTTATACACTGATAAAGTCATAAACAATGGGTTGAAGGGATTTTAAGCAGCACATTTTAGTTATTTTTATTTTAAAAGATTTAATTGTGTGTGTGTGAGAGAGAGAGAGAGAGACAGAGAGACAGAGACAGAGACAAGCAGATCAAGACAGAAAGAGAGAACAAACTCATGCCACAGCATATGTGTGAAGGTCAAAGGATAATGTTTTAAGAGTCGCTTCTCTCTTCCACCTTGTTTCTAAGCAGGTCTCTCTTGTTTCTGTGGCTGCTCTACATGCCTGAGCTTTCAGTGGATTCTCTGTCTATGTTGGTATTACAGATGTGAGTCAGCCCATCTCACTTTTCTGACTTTTTATCGGGGGTTCCAGGAATTGAACTCAGGATGTTAGGCTTGCGTGGCAAGCACTTTTATTCACTGAACCATCTTGCCATCCCAAGTAGCACATTTTAAATGTGTTTACGTAGGTTCCTTTCAACATGCTAGTTATACCTATTTGCAGGAACTGTTATCCCCCACACGTGTAGTTGTCTTCTCTCTCCTTGTGCTTTGAGTGAAGAGTGACATTTTGTCTTTTTCTCCTTGCAGATCCATTTGGAAAGACAGATGAGCGGGAACCACTCACAAATGCAGTCCGAAGTGACTCAGCAGTTATCGGAGGTAAATCATTCTTCATTGTTGAAGTAGGGAACACACACACACACACACACACATACACACACAAATATATTCCTGCACTTTGCAGAAAGGCATTGGAAGCCTTGCTTAGATATGGCCACCTAGTACCCAGAACCAGGCACTGTCTACCAGACCATTAGTTTCTTCATGATTCGTCACACATTAAAGGGGGGCTGTGACCCAGTACCGGCAGCTCTGTGCATTCATCCCGCTCGAATTCACCAGGTAACTGAGCTCTGAGCCAACAGCTAGACCATTTACTCACAGATACAGAGCCTGGATCTTGTTTAGAGCATCCAGTTGTCACTTCTCCTAAAGCACAAACAAAGTGAACCAATAAAATTACATGTGAGAAGAAGCCACACTGGGGTAGACAGATGGCCCATGCTGCAGTTGTAGGGTTTCCTCCACCCAGTGATTTGGGTTACATCTAAAATGAACTGGGTGACACTCACAGTATGAGGCTTCATATCCAACTGTCCATCTGGTTATGGATGCAGACCTTGTCTACTCTGCTCAAAGCTCAGCTCCTATCTCCCTTTGCTTTTCTGTTTTCTTGCTGCCTGTGGGCCTCACCCCACCCCTCTTTATTCTGCCTCAGCCTGGCTGCACTTGCAGTAGTTTAATGTTCCCATCTGGGTCTTGCAACATAGAATGACTCCCAAGCCCTGTTTAATGTAAGATGCCTGAGAGATGGAAATCTATTTCCATCTGAGAGCTGTAGCCCTAGCAGGTGCCCCACCCCTGCTTTCTTAGCAGCTGGGATGAACACATCCAAACCAGATGGAGTTCTGTAAAAGTTGACAGGAGCCATTCGTTTCACTTCTACTTAATGAGCTCCAGCTTCGGGTCAGACCTGGTGCAAAGAATAGGGATGCAGGATGAAAGATATTTACTGCCTTTCTAGAACTTACAGGCGGGCTGGGGAGGAAATGGGCAAACAGACAGTAAGCAGAGGTCCCTGTTCCAAGGGCAGAAGGAGACAGAAGTGTGCTACCACAGTAACACCCCAGGACAGAGCAACCATGACCTTCCTTAAGGAAATTCTTCAGATATCCATCTGAGCTGAATGTTGCTCCAGGAGAGAGAGTTGAGCTTGTGTTTTATTTGGCATCAATAAATGCCATGGAGAATTTTATAACTTTCTCCTCCAGTAATTTTTCATTTGATAAGAAATGACTTTTGTGAGTCCTGACTTTCCCCACTCATTTGCACTCCTTTGAGTCTCTTTAATGAGGGGAAACTTATCACAGTCCTACAGGAGATTCCTGAAGTCTTGCACAGCCTCTAGCCTTCAATAACCCCTTCACCAAGACATTAGCTAAAAGGACCCTTTGTCATGCCATAAACTAGAGTTCAGACCTGGGAGTCATATACTGTCATCCAGGTTAAACTATCACTTTGGTGATTTTATTCTGCTTTGCTCTAAAATAGTTGAGGAATATGTTACACAATGGTTTAGGAATGTATGAAAATGTAAGCTGTCTTAGTTATTGTAGCAGACCTTTATAAATATATTTTTATTAGTTATTTGAGATTTTCATACAGTGCATTTTGATCATGTTCACCCCCTCCAACTCCCAACTCTCCTCAGGCCCACTGTTCCATCCCTATCCACAAAATTTGTATCCTCTCTGTTTTTTAATCCATGGAGTCCATCTGTGCTGCTTATATACTATTGAGTGACTGTGTGACTGTCCACTGGAGCATGGTCAATTTATCAGTCAGAAATTGATGAAACAGTGGGAGGCATAGGCAGAAGCAGGCAGTTCTCTTTGAGATCACCATCATCCTGGTCTGCATAGGAAGTTCCAAGTCATCCAGGGATGCATTATGTGACTTTGTCTCAAAAACAAATGGTGGCTGGATACGATGGTGTGTGTTTTTAAATCCCAGAACTTGTTGGGAGGTAGAGGCAGGTGGATTTCTGTGAGATCAAGGTCAACATGGTCTATATGGGGAGCTCTAGGTCAGTTGGGGCTACTGGGAGATCCTGTCTCCAACCCCATCCACCAAAATTGGTGGAAGATGGGCCAATATATATAACTATCCAATATCTAATTCATGTAAATCATGATGAACAACGACCAACAATAAGTTTATAAAATAGGTACTTTTCTCAGTATTTAGACTACTTAGAAAAAAAGAAATACCCAAATATACAATTTATCAGAAATGAAATAAGCTTTAATGACCAAAATTTCAGTGCTTCCTTGATATTGTGTGAGTGTGTGTGTGTGTGTGTGTGTGTGTGTGTGTGTGTGGTTTATTTGCTTGCTGGCTTGTTTGTTTGTTTTGTGATGAGATCTTACTCTGTATCCCAGGCTGTCAAAACCGCAGAGATAGCATGAAAGATCTTGAAAGATCCATGAAAGAGCCTACAAAGTGAGATGCGAGATGTGAGAACCAATTCCTGAATGTTGTCTTCTAACCCCCCACAAGAGCTTTGGCACCTGCACACCTGCACACACACGCACACACACACACACAACATACACACACACATCATATACATCTCACACACATCATATACACCACACACATACATCATATATACCACACACACACATCATATATACCACACACACATGCATATCATATACATCTCACACACATATATATATCACACACACACACACACACACGCACACACATGCAGATTTTTTAAAAACCTCACAAGAAATTCTTGACTAGGCTTGGTGGTACAGCATATGTTAATATGTATAAATCCTATTTGATCCTCGGCACCCAAAACAAAAGCAGTTACATTCTGTCTAACCTCCCAGGAAGCCCCTGCCCCTGACCTCTCTGGGTTTTCCAGTTGAAACACACGTTCCTAAAGATTCAAAGCTAGCATCCACAAATGCCAGAGAACATGCCATGTTTCTCTTTCTGGGTCTGGGTTGCCTCACACAGGATGATTGTTTCCACTTCCATTCATTTATAAGAGAAGGTTGATCAGGCTCCAGAGGATGGACCAATATCCAAGAGAATTTAGGAAACACAGATTATACTTGATAGGCCTTAAGTGAGGGGGTAGGATGGTGGAGCTGGTTCTGAGAGGAGATTCAGGAGGGTTTCTGAGAGAGGAGTTCTGAACACAAGAAAACAAAACAAAAGCCAGAAACCACAGAAATCCATGTTCTATCTCCATGTTTCTGAGAAGGCATTCTTAGGCCACCAACAAAATATTATAGGATTCAAACTGGTCTACTCCTTCACCACTGTGCAAGAAGAAGATTCTGTAGTCCCACAGAAGATCTTTTTTTTTTCTGGGTATGTGGTAGAGTTGCATTTGTGTTTGGTGTTTGCTTTGTTGCCTTTTTCTCCTCAGTAATTCCTTGTCTAGACTAAGTTTTCTATATCATGGCTTTCTTCTCTTTCCACTCCTTTTCTACAGGGGTCATAGCTGTGGTGACGTTCATCACCTTCTGTATCATTGGCATCATGACCCGCTTCCTCTATCAGCATAAGCAGTCACACCGGACCAACCAGATGAAGGAGAAGGAATACCCAGAAAACTTGGACAGTTCCTTTAGAAATGACATTGACTTGCAAAACACAGTGAGCGAGTGCAAACGGGAATACTTCATCTGAGATGCTGCAGGGTCGCCTAATCCTCTTTTGAGTGGTTGTTTGTTCTTTCTCTTTCTCTTCTCTCTCCTGTCTTTAAATTTAAGCATTCTCTTTCTCATGCCCCATTCCTTCTCTGGAACACACCCGCATCTCCAACAGCATTGATCCCCTTAACCCAACTCAGGAGACCAGGCAGCCATGACTACTGCCATCCACTGACACACGTGTCATTGTGCAAATGACCAGACACAGACTTCACTATTCTAAATAAGGAAGAGGCTTGCATGTACATGTGCATACTCATATTTTCCATTCCAGTTTCTAAACTTCACTCTTCAATTTCATAGACACTTGGTCTGGAGCTGGTGAGCTCTGTGGGCTGGTGGATATTTAATGATAGTCTCTGACAGCCTGCTTCATCTTACAGCTTTTAGGTCTTGAGAGGAAAAGGGGGATTGAAAGGGACAAAGACAGAGTTGGATCCTCCTTTAGGCAAAGACATGTTTTATGAGCCCAACAGAGAGGCTGGATCTGAAGGAAAGCCTAAACCCACCCACATGGAGAGAGCAGAGTTTTTTCTTTTAAGCTCCCCTGTGAGAGCTCATGTTATACCACAGGAAAGGAGTTCTAATCAGAAGTGGAGTCATTGTGTTTTTCTGCAATTCTGGAGGAGGCAGCTGTTTGAAAAGTCTCAAGGCCTTACTTCTGGAAGAAAGATGGGCCTAGTTAGTGTGTGATACAAGAACCAGTGGTCATTTGTCCTGCCTGTTGCCCTCTTTTGCTTAGGGCCTGACTGTCTCTGGGCCTGTTCTGAGGAGAGGCAAGGAGACCTGGTCCCTGTGAAAGCTGTGAAGGGAGAGGCTGCAGTTCCTTGTGCCTGTCAGCTCCTCACTGCAGCTTTGAAACAAGGCACTAGGATAGTCTAGTTTCTAACAATGACCGAGTATGCCAGGGGACCCAGGGCAGAGGGACACGCTTCCAGCCTGTTAGCTTTGGTGCCATTGTACAAACAACCGGAGGTGTTCCTGTAAAGTAAGTTAGATTCCTTGCCATAGGCAGCCATCAGTCCTGACTTATCACCCTCTAAACAATGACACTGTTCCCCTGGCTGTCTTCAAATGTAGATTGACTGGGAGGAGTGAACGATTAATTACCTTGCTCCTTCTCACCACTCTATTTTGAGGCAAATACTTTAGAGCAGCACCCAATAGCCTAAACCTGGGAGAAGCATGGACGCAGTAGCCTAAAGCTAGGAGGCTTTGAGAAGGGTGCTAGGATGTAGCTGCTCCAAAGGCTATAAGACCACCTTCTCTGGTTTAGTAAGAAACGTTAGGTTATTCCTGGGATTGCTTTGCTGAGGTTAAAAAAAAATAGACACATGCATGTACATTGTGACAGCGTTGAATTAATTCAAATAAAATCTAAAGTAGTACCTGTTTCTATGGAAAAGCATAGACCATCTTAACTCAGCTTTAAGGAAAACTGAAAAAGATATGAAAAATCACTATGCGAAAGAAAATTGTCAAACAGATTTTTCCCTTCCATCCACTCCAGAAAGAGCTGATGAAGAAAGAATATTCAGGTTAGTAGGAGTTACATTCTAGCATGGGTGTGATGAATTTACTCTGGCCACTGGGTTGTTTTATAAAGGTGTGGGACTGGCTAGCCTATGTGGCACTGTGGTCACCTCTAGCTCACTGTGTGATTTCAGGGGCGCCCTTAGTTTGTGAAGCACATCACATTTTCCAATCTGCACCTGGTGTACACAAAAGTATCCCTGTGCACATGCCCCATATGCTAAATAAGGCTGTAACAAATCTCAGGCTTTAGATTCTTTTGATAGTGAAATATATAATTCATTCCTTCAAGAAACCATCTTAAATTTATCCATGGGGTAGCAAGATGAATCCTCATTATTTTGCTGTAACAACATGCCTAACTCTGCTCTTGGACCATCTTGGAGAAAAAGACAGAGGCGAAACCATTCAAATGCTTCAGGGTGTAAGAACCCTCAAAAGCAAAGTCCTCTGGCAGGAGGCTGACTGAACCGCTTTGCAGGGCAGGTTTGAGTTGCCCAACAAGTACCATGTGTCTGTCTGCCAGCCTTGGCAGTGGGAATGCTGTGGTCTTAGTGAGTCTCCTGCCTTTGAGCGCTCAAGAGTCTGGGGCAGAAGGAGGCCCACAGTGAGCCCTCACTAGCTTTACCCATTCCCACCCCACGCTTTTCTTTCAGTTTTAGAGCTTTGGACATAAGGATTGCATTTATAATCACAGCCCACAACTTTGAGACATTGTTCTAAATACATTTTCTTTCCTTGAAATTTTCTATGAATTCCTACATAACAACTTCATCATTTAGGATGTTGTTACACTTTTGCTAGTGAATTTCTTTTAAAGTGATTCTAACAAGGATACGTTTTTATTTTTCTAGCTTTAATAAGACAAATGACCACTTAATAAAATGAAAAATCTTGAAATTCCATTTCCCTCTGCCCTCCCTTCCCTTTGCTCTGATTTTCACTTTTGAATTTTCTGGTTCTATAAAAAGACTGCATAAGTCATCTTTTTGCTTGGCTACATATTCCTTTGTCACCTGAAGTAAAAGTCACACTGAAGTGCAGTCAGTTTAGCCCGAAGCATCTCCAGTAATGAAACAGGCAGGCAAAGGAAGGTGTTAGTAATAACAGAGACTCTTACTTATTCAAGTCCCTGAGAAGCAAGGACCTGGTTTTGCTGATGTGAAGCTCCTAGATAAAAATAGAGGACTGGTACAGCCAATTCAGCATGTATGATTTCCTTATCCATATGTATTCACTCATAGATAATGATGTTGGATGGAACAGGTGAAGCCCATCTTTTACATCGGCATACCAGAGTCTACTGGCATTCTCCCTGCATGCGAAAACTGTGTGGACAAAGACACTAGGTACCACAGATCCAAAGGTCAATGATGCCATGATGGTACACTATTAGAATCTCAGGGTTAAACCAGAATTATTTAACAACTCTAGACAATGCTACATCGTACACCATTTTACACCATGTGAAAGGTAGTAAGTTGCATCCTCACAAACAAAATACACATTGTTGCTAGAAGCAACTGCTGGTTCTACTTGTGATGTTAAGATTCATTTGGATTTATGCAATTATTCAATTATTTGTCTCCATCTTTAAGCAATTATAATCTAAAACAAGACCCAGAGCATTCCAATCCTTCCTTAATCACCACTACTTACTATGGCATATGAGTTACCTGACTGTATGTAGTCACTTTGATTGCTATAATTTCCCCTAATGTAACAGTCTTTTGATAACTGCTGCTTACAAAAATGAATTTGTAGATTATTGTCCCATTATAGTAAGACCAAAAGCACCTGTGCAATTTCACATTCTAAGGAGCTATTTTACTGGTATTATTTCTATCAAACAGATCTATTAATTCAAGCAATAATAAAGTTGCTTTCCCTAAAATACTTTTAATACCATCTCTATCATTCAGTTTATGCATAGGATAGATTGCTGTGGTTTCCAAGAATTAGACTAGAGAAATATGCATTTATCATTTCCTAGATATATACCTCATAGCTAGCTTAGCCTAGGTTTATTTTAAGGACCCTGAAGCTGATATTTTACAACAATTTTTATTCTCTTTAGAAACAAGAGGTGACACTATCCTGGCATCTACCCTTTATCAGAAACAGGCCCACCACAATTTGACAGGAACAGGATTAGAACAAAAGAATATGTAGTTCTCTTTTCTGTATTCAGTCATAAGACATGCAGGAAATTTCCATGACTCCAAGTATTTTGTTGGCACAGATTGTACAAACATTTACTGCCCTTGAAGCATAATAATAACAGCTGATTGTTGTAATAGAAATGTGCACACAGTGCTATGGGGCACAGAGCAAGGACTATGCACAGATACATTGCAAGCCAATTGTCAGTGACTTCATGAAGCCAACATGTTTCTGGAAAATTTTTACAGTTATGTCTCTCGTTTATTATTTCTTTCAGAAATAAAACAATCTTTTTTGCTCTTCCTCAAGCGAGATAGCTATCCATGCAGGCAAATTTCTGTAGAGAGAGGTTAGTTAACCCTTTGGAAATAACACAACACGAATTCGACACATTTTAAAGGATGCTACATTTTCTGTGTTCTATGAGTTCAGGTTAAGGCATTCCAAATGCATGACTTTGCATAATTCAGGCCCCTGTGGTGACTTGAAAGTCTATGGGGGGGGCACAAAAACAGTCTCTGTTTCTACCCTGTCTTTTTTTCAGCTCTTTTATTGACATACACTGATGCCATTGTTCTTTTAGGTGTCATTGAAGCTGGCTTGATAGTGTAGTATTTTCTAAAAATCCCCTTTGTCCTAAACAACCATTTGACTATACTTAAGAAAGCCTCTGAGAACAAGAAAGTGACTACTGAGTGAGTAATTTACTGAAAAGAGATGACCATCCAAATAGAATCATACTTCAATGCCCCAAGTGAAAATTTCCAATCCTGAAGGCCATGTACACTCTCTCTTGACACCATGTTAATTCAACTAGAGGAACCACACTGGGAAGGTACAATCAAAATAGGCCTATGATATCCAGGGATATGGGCATCAAGCCTGTGCAACTGTTCCTAAGAAAGTTGTCGTTAGTTCTTCTACAAATTTCCCTCACTTCTTTTGAATTCCCTACAGCTACAATCCATCAAACTCCTGTTGCAACCCAGTCTGCCAAGAGGCCTTTGAGATACCTGTATAGCCCTGCCATTTCATTCTTCCCGAAGCTACTACTGGTTATGCTTATTCCTCAGTTGTCCTATGGGCCATATAGCAACTAAATAAATAAACAGGCATTCTTGTACCTGTAAGTGGCAAAGGAGGCTAATGGAAGGGTGTTACAGGAAAACTCAAACTTTCTCCAGTTCCTGAAAGATAGCTGAGTGCTAGTTCATATCTCTCATGAAGTCTGAAAGTGTTTTCTTTTAAAAGACTCAGAGTGTAACTGAATTATGACTGCATATTGCATCGTCCTTAGGTCCTTCTTAACATTTCCTCTTACTGTCTCACCTGCATTCTTCCTGAAGCCACCTGTGAAGGATTATAAGCTCTGTATTCACAAAGTCCAAATAGTTGAACCACCTAAAGGGAAGAAAGTACAACACATCTCCACACAAGCACATGCGTGTGCATACATACACACACACACAGAGTAAAAGGAAAAAAAAACAATAATAGGGCTGTTACTTAAGCATTATCCAGGAAATTCTATATACATATCTGTTTGGTGGGG